TTAAACCAATTTTAAATTTAAATTTTTCAACATAATTATATTCCTTGGGTTTATCAAAGTGAAATTATTATACATAACAATAAAGAAATATAGATAATTTAAACTACATCTCGTAGGCATGGGTACTACAATATTATATTGATTCATAAATAAAATTTGTATCGTCAATTTATGATTATTATTTAATGGGTTTAAAATATCTGTAGAATACATTTTACCAAATGAATGTAATCTTATGCTTAAATATTTCTGTATAAGTAATGCAATTAAAACTAATTTATGGGATCTATCTTATTATTAAGATTCGTCAAATTTCATATGCATTTGAGATGCTTAATAGTTATAAATAGCTGGCGATTAGCATATTATTCTATGTAATTACATGTTCTGTGCTACTAGAGTCCAAGAGTTCGAGAATTGCACAACAGAGTACGCTACTGTTTGCGTGGGCTTTAATTTGTTATGTTTTTTCAGATTTTATTTTATTTTAAGTTGTAATGTATTAAACTGTTAAAGCAATAGGTTAACTGTTAAAACTAACTTCACTAACTAATTGTTATATAACATATTCAAATAGAAACATATTTGATTTTCATGATATGATAAGATAATATAATAAGTGAAATATATTATTTGTGACTTGTGTTATATAATGTTATATTGGCATAATTCTAGKTTAGCGCCCACGCGAATTTTTCAATTTTTTTTCGGAAACCTAAGTGTTTTAACGAATTTAGAACGATGGTGCAAAAATGAATTGGCGGAAACCATTATTTTGGAAGTTATAGCCTTCCAAAGTTTTCAATTTTACGTTTATACGCATGCGCAAAACGCTATATTTTTCGCGCTTATAACGAATTTTTCAATTATTTTTTTTTCAAATCCTAGTTAAATCAACGTTTTTATTACCTTTTTTTCGTCAAATGCATTTTGGTTAGGGATTTCTCATTTTCCCTGTGACCTACTTAAGGTGGTGTTGCACAGCAAGTCCAGGGATATTTTCGATTTGCAGAGCAAAGCGACGGCGCCGAGGAGCGTAGCAACGAGTGCCGCACTGCCGCTAGCAAGGCATCACTGCCCTGCCCATACTACGACATAAACGTAAACGTAAAATTGCAAACTTTGGAAGGCTATAACTTCCAAAATAATGGTTTCCGCCAATTAATTTTTGCACCATCGTTCCAAACTCGTTAAAACGCATAGGTTTCCAAAAAAAAAAATTGAAAAATTCGCGTGGGCGCTAAACTAGAAATGTTCCCCACATTTAATATATTATAAATCATAATGCATCTATTAATAAAGCTAAAAATATTTGTATGAAAAAATAACAACATTTAGGTAAATAAATGTAATATATTATATTTATTTATAAAGYATATTATTATAATTGGAACCTTCGGTTAGAAATTGCAAACGTATCTAATATTTTTTCGTTGGACAATTCAATTGATAAATCTCGTTCTATATAAATTAATGACAAATTTGCACCTAAATCTATCTCGACTCATAGATGTTCGAAGCWAATTTTTAATCTTTCTCATTGCTGAGAATGATCTTTCACATGTTGCAGAGCTCATTGGAACTGTTAAAGATAATGATAACAGTTTATATATTATATACGCCTAATATGACACTAGACAGTAATTTTATTGTTCGCGTAATATGGCGGGTAACTAAGGTCTAACATCATGTTGTTGCATTGGCTTGTTTYATGTTTCCAGATTTAAACTTTAGAAAATTTTTTTTTGAAACGACGGTTAYTGTATTATGTAYATTAGATAATKAATRAAGGATTBAATACTTCAATTTAAAYATAAATTTTWGAAGGGGCHAATTTTAATATTGGAGGGGCTAAGCCCCTCCAAGTCCACCCCAAATTGCGCCTATGCTGCAAGCATAATATAAAACGTTAATAATCCGGAATAATAAAAATCTAGCCCGTCTGACTAGCAGCGCTAGGCGGTTTTATTCTTGCAAATTTAATCAATTATTGATAAAATAAAAAAAAATAATCATAATATTTTAAATAATAATTAATAATCGTCAAATTATAACGAGTAACGACTATAATTAACTGTGTGTATACAGTCTATGGGGGGGGGAGTTGATCCCCTTGATCCCCCCCCGTGAATACGCCAYTGATAAGTACTAATGTACTACAGAAGATAAATTTAATTTCCCAAATGCATAACCCAAAATCCAAATAAATTGTTTGGAATCTGTGCAGCTTACTTTCAACAAAATTAAAATAGAGGTAAATCTACGGGCATTTATTTTGTCACAGGCAACGCCGTGCAGAATATCAGCTAACAATAAAATATTACTAAAAATATTTTTAATTGACAATTTATAGGTGGGTAGGTGCATAATAAAATACAAGCTTTATATTTTTGCATAATAAAAATAAATTTAAAATAATAATAAGAAATTAAGAATCATAGGGGCCGATAATACCTATAAGCTACATTTATTATCTACTAGAAAAGCTTACAAAAACATAAGTATGTTTGTAATAATACCGTGTATCACATCTTTAATCGTTGTAGTCTATATTTATCTTTAAAAAAATATCTATAATGTACGAAAAACCTCTTGTAAATCGAGTCGGTATAGTTTTACTGCTTTAGAAATTAATCTGGGCAAAAATAAKAGACTGAATGTTATACATGCAAAAAAATATTATTATTTTATACAATATAATATACTAATTACTAATATGTATATTATYGTATTATTTTATTTATAATATTTGTATACAACCATATTGGTATAATATACTCAAATGTATATTATAGACATTTTAAACAATTTAGCATGTAGGAATTTACGGGCGTAAGGGGTAACGTAAATAAATCGATGTTGCTGTTGCTTTGGTGGACCCGGACGAATAGTTTTACGATCAATACAGCGAAATTTGGAGAAGAGATGAGGTGATGACCTAAGTTGGCCGGTCGTACKACTCGTAGTGTACGTGGGGTGTTTTCGGGGTGACAGCTAAAACGGGTGTGCCACGAGATGAGAGTCGAGATTTTATTATTTGTTTTAAATGTCAAGAAATGTATATAAATTATTATAGCATTGTAGAAAAATKTTTAATGATACTACTGCAGTAGTATTGTATTTCTTTTTATGTATATAGGTATAGTGTAAGTGTAATAAAATTAATAATATACATAATAGGCATATAATTTGAGCGGAAAAGCTTAGCTCTAATAAAATTGTTATCGACGATAACTTGTCGTGCTATATATAATTTATTACTCGTACCTTTGGCAGTTTGTTGAAAGTCTTTTGGTAATCGCAACAATTTTCGTTCATTTTATGAAAAAATTGTGAAAAATGTTCTAAAAATTGAGAAAATGCTCTAAAATTTTCAAAGAATGCCTTTAAAATGTATTTAATGTTAAGTTTGTCAAAAAATGTAAAGAAAATAATACTTTAAAATAATTAGTATCACCCAAAACACATTTTTAATTACGAACCAACATTTCAAGACACCAGAAAAAAGATGCCTTTGCATCGAAATCACAAATTCCCAACCCTACTGGAGTACTGGCTACTGTTAATAGTTTATCGTCAAATAATGTTTTTGATTTTTTTTTTTTTTTTTAATAGCACCCCAATATTCTTAATGAACCATTTTATAACGATGTTCTAAAAGAGTAAACATTATCTTGATAAACTGGCATATTGTGGTGGTCATGCATCTACACACGAGCCGCCACTGGAAGAGACACAAAATGAGTCAAAATAATTAAAAAATATTGTCATGTATAGAAAACTATGAAATTAATAAGTGAATATTTTGAGCGTCATTAGCTATTCATATTTGAATTATAACAGAATGATAACAAAATCGTTAGATGAGAAATCATTAATTTACCGATGATAATCTACATTTAATTGTTTTGAGTTCCGTTAAAAAACAAAGTTTATTTTATCGAAAACTGGTTTTGCAAAGAAAATATTTTGATATTTTTGAAAAGTATTTTTAATTTTTAATTTTGACTTCAAAAGTACCAACTATTCAAATTTTATATTAGGTGATACCATCTCCATTGTTAGCAATTAAACCATTATTTCAACAATTTATTGTGTATACACATTACTATATATTACTCAAAAAAACATATGTTGTAAAATTAATATATATTTATCACTCTGCTCAGAATCTAAAACGTGTTCAATGCAAACATTTATTATGCTGCAGTAGTTATGCCTAAAACAATATTTTTATATTTAAATGTTAATTATTATAGTTTGCTGGTTTAAAAAGTCATATTGGAGGTTACGACTACCCAAATTCCCCTCTCGTAATAATGCCGCTGTAATGATGAAATGGCAAAAATAAAATAATAAAATATAGTTTGTTCTGGATCAATTTTATAGAGTCGGCCCATCTCCGAGTGTCTTCTCAAGATAAAAGTTTCCGTTTTTCGGAATAAAACTTCTTCTTTTCTTCAACAAATTATTTAAGGGATCATTTTTTAAAAAATATTTAAGCATCAAAATTAAAATTTGAACGATTATCTAGTTTTTGAGTTATTTAACTACTACTCGTTTGAATTTTGAATTAGAAACACCAAAGGGGATTCTCATTAGTAAAACAAAATATGGTTTTGAGACTTGAAGTGTTGCCTAAAATCTGAATTCTAAAAATTTCATTATTTAAGGAACAAATTGGAATGACGAATGAGCATGGCAAGCATGCTTGTGAATCGCTTTGTATTCTTCATTATGTTTTAAGACTGTCAGGCTGTAAATTGTAATTCAGAAACAATATTGTTCATAGCGTAATGTCGCGTGGGGAAAGTGTTTCACACGACATTTTTTCTATATCACCATAAAGAACATCAATACATTTTGCGCATGGCGTTACTGGGGTTCTGGGCACATGCGGCTGCGCAGTGTTTCTGGTCATACATCTGAATTCTGGATGTTCGCAGCCTGGTGTCATGATATTTGATAATCAATATGGCGTCATTTGTTGTCCGGTGCTCATAGCTGCAACAAGTCGCATCTGTGTGTTACATAATATAGAATATAGATCGTTGTCCGGCATTTCGCGTTTCAAAAAAATAAATTACGTGAGTTTAGAACAATGTTACAATTTAGTCGGTTTATTTTATCGTAGYATCATTTTTGTATTATGGTAATCGATTATGGAGTGTCCGATCAGTTAAATTGTATTGGAAATGAATTTCTTACATCGGTATCGGATCGCGTTCCATATACTACCTATAATATATTTACGTTATTGTTATTTATTTTAATTTTAAAACATAAACAATGTTGAATAATGCGTTGTATCATTTTATTCATTTATTCATTTGTTTGTTAATATTATTCCAAAACGTGTAGGTACCCATTTTTAGGATGCCTCAATGCTAATCACTGGTGGCGCATTGAAATTTTATAATATTGTGTTTAGAAAATTAAAGTTCTAATAATTTTCATAAGGAATAATTTAGCTCTGTAGTTACTTGGTTAACATTGACTTGATTATCGTCATATGTCTTATCATGTTTTGGTTTTAGATTGTTGTTTGAGATTTATGTGAATTTGATTTGTGATCAATATAAAACATTGGAGGATGCCTAAACGAGGAAAAGAGCCAAGACCATCAAGTCGTCATTCTGGTGGTCGTTTTTCACCATCACCACAACCACCACGGCAAGCTAGAAATGATTATCAAATATCAGGATCTTCACGTTCAACGTAAATATATTGAAAATACTCCTTCTTTTTTTATTTACATTTTTATTATTTTCGCTTCAAGTATGGGTAGTTACACTTATTACCCCACATATTTAACAACAATGTTACATTAGAAATTTTAGAATTTTTTTTTGTGCTTTTTTTTAGGTATAGAATTATTATTTTTTATTTTGTTCTATTAAATAATGTATTAGAATTTATAAAGATATGTTCTAGTTGAAAAATCTCTTTYTTTTATAGATAAAAAAATAAATTATAAGAAATAATTTGTATCAAAATTGATGCAGATATCTGTGATTTATTAATTATTTTATATGAAATCTCTACCTAGTCATAAAAATGTGGTATTGTTATTGTATCTAAAGTACGCATTTAATTTGGTATTTATAATGCATTGGAACATTTTAAAAACCTCTTGGTACTACTTAATTTATGATTGTTAACATATTATACATAATATTATATAATATAAATTATGGGTAAAGATCAAACTATATAAGCTTGCGGCATTGCATGTTTAGATATGGTTAGTTAATTTTACAGTAGTATACAAATTTAGTTGATATAGTATTTTTTGATGAAGATTTAATTAAAATATTAAGTACCACTTTTTATTTTATTTTATTCATAGGTAATACTAATATTTTTTCTTCATTTATATTTTTTTTCAATCTACGTAATTAGATTATACTAAAATAAATGTATGGCTAATATCTGAGTGGTGTCTTTTTAGTTTTTGAGAGGGAGAAGAGAGTGAATGTTTTGACCAGCTCATAATAAAACTGTAAAAATCGCTTGCCAAAAATTATATTTTTAACTCAATATTAATCTAAAGTATAGAATTAAAATATCGAATAATGGCTAATTCTAACAACAAATAATAAACATTTAAGGGAATGCCCTTATCTGTTAAATATTACTCACCATGAAAACACATCATAGACCAGGGTTGTAGATATATAATATTTACCATAGACTAATTCTTCAGATACCCTATAATTACTTACATTATAATATATAGTACAGACCATAATATATAGTTAAATTGTATACCTATATTAATGACATGAATTATGTTTGTAAGCTTGCGGTGGACCAAAACAATGTCCCATACCTATAGCTAGAAAGAGGCAAATTCATCCTCCTCTCCTACCCCCACCAAAAAAAAAAAAATAATAAAAAAAATTCATAAATAGCATTCAGTCTTGTTAAGACTAATTTTTATTTAATAAATTATTTTGTTGGTGTCATTTTTGTTTTGAAATGGTTACCTATTTTAAGACTTTCAAGAGTATGTATTTGAATATAAGTAATAAATATAAAAACTTTTTGAATTCAATAAATTTGATATTTATTTATATTTGTACATTAGTCACAAATAAATGGGTTCGTATCTGAGCTTGAATAAAGTATTAATAGTTAACACATTTGTGCTTTAATAGTTATAAGAATTTCAGATGTCACAGATTATGTTATAATTTTTAGTTAATCAATTTAACATAAGCTAGGCAAATATAAATTTTGGCTATTATATCATCTGCTTATTTGATTAAACCTTATTGATTCTTAGAACCATTTTAAAATATTATTTTAGAAAAAAAATGTAAAATAGTAATACACAAAAATATTAGTCATTGATAAACAAATTTTTAATTATGTCATTATGAACAAAATTTGGGATTGATAAATTATTGAATAATAGTATTCTAACATACTTCATTATCATTACAGATATCAAATGTGAAATGATGCATTTATATTTTTTCAAATTAAATAAAGAATTAATAAATTAGTATCCTAGTGTTGAATTTCAATTTTTTTATTAGTTTATTGTATTAAATAATACTTATATAACATTACACATTTTATATGATACTATTAATTAGTACCTATCACTTAAACATAATATTTAAATTTTAAAGATTTTCTTGTTGAATGAATTATTTGATGTACCTATATCTTTTTAAAATAAATAAATGTATAAAATGCACAACGATATATTAAATTACTAAATGCATAATGATGGCGACCAACAGAGTGCAATGATACTTCCAGATGTACTAGGAAGTTAAAAAAAGGTGTTACTCTTATCTTTTTAATTTTAAATCCAAAATCTCGATAGTTACTATTAATTAATTTTTACCCTTTTGAAAAATATTTATTATACTCTATCATGCTTACTTTCTTACAAATTATGATATATGAACATCTAAAAATAAATTTTTTTAACATTAACTTATTCAAATTGGTCAAGAAATTCATGTGTATCTAACAATCAAACCTGCAATTTTCATGATTTTTTTTTTTATAAAAAAGTACCTATTTTAAGTAATGTCCATAATGACCTATTTTTGTTTATTAAAAAGTTAAATAAAATAATAATATTAGGGAGATACAAGCGAAGCAATACAATTTTTTTTAAAAAACCACTCGCCACTTTTTGTTGTAAGCTCAGGTTGTATATAATCACACTTATTTTAGCAATACATCAGGAAATGATCAGTATTTAGAGAGTAATTTAGTTTAATGAAACATAAATGCCGATCTCAAATAATACATAAATAATCAGATTTTTAAGTTATGTTTTTCTACATTATGCTCWTGTCATTTTATTTTATTAAAATTAATGTGTTTGACAATATTTCATGAATTTTTGTCATAGATCTAAGTATGTTGATTTTGATATTTGTCATCAAATTTTGAAATATGCTATTATTAGTTGGGCTGAGATATCTAGTTATCAACAACTCTCTCCCCTCACCTGATGTATTAGAAAACTACTGGGAAAACCAAATTTGGCCTYCCCAATGCACTAACTAGATTCTAACCAGAAAAGCACTGAAATTGAAAATTGAAGCATTTTTTCAACAACTTATCGTGTACACAAACAAAAAAATAAAAATAAAAATAATTAATATATTTTCATAGAAATAGAGACAACTGAGAATTACTTAAAATCATTTTTGTCAGCAGTGTTTACCATTAAGAGGACCCTACAYACATATTGTTGTCGTCTTACAAATGTGTAACATATCAAATGTACACTTAGCAGATCATGTTTAATTTCGTTAGTTTAAAAATTAGAGTAAATTTACGTATTATGAAACTTGATGCTTAGAACATTATCTGTTTGTATGTGGGTTTTTTATGATAACTTGGTTTTTAAGTGAGTTGTGTTTAATTTACTATTTTTATAAATGCATAACTCGCTACAAAATTATACTTTCATAAAACTCACATACAAACAGATAATGTTTTTAACATCAAGTTTCATAATAGGTCGATTCACTCTAATTTTTAAACTAACAGAGCTAAACGTGATCTGCTAAGTGTAAATTAGCTATTTTATGTATTTGTAAGACVGAGACAACACATGCAGGTGTAGCATCCTTTTAATTATTTATTTGGCATTAGTTACTAAGAAATAATGTTGTTAACAACTTACTTTTACTTCAACATATACCTAAAAAAAAGTTTGTATTAGTTATATCATTTGTATTTTTTCTTAATGTTTGGTTGTGGGAATCAAAATTAAAGTTATAGTACTATTTCTGAATCAGTGCAATTTTTTTATTTAACACTTATGATTTTCAGAACTCCATAGTTATTTTTAAAATTCCAAGATTGCTCAAAATTAAAAATATTAATATTATTACTATGTATATTAAAACAGACAATGTGTTTATTGTATATCATTCGTTTTATTTTTTATTTTGTTTTATTTTATCAGTTAGACATTGTTATTATTTTTTCTTTTGTACTAGGTTATTAATAATGCATTAATAACTACTGTATTATAATGTTTTTAAAACTGAGATGAGCTTAATATACCTAAAAACTTGTGTTTTATTAYGTTTGTAATAGTTTTTACTGTCATTTATTTTATCATTAAAAAGTTATTATATTACTGATTAATATAATATTTTAAATATCATTGATATTTATATAGGTGTGATTCTAGTTCTGGGACAAGATCACCTCATACCAAAGATAATAACAAAAAATCTAATGGAAATGTACATCCTGGAAACACTCCCAGACTTATGTTAGTAATTTATTTTAAACTTTTAGGGGCTTATGTTTACACTAAACTTAATATTGTGTGTCACTTTAGGAGAGTAGTTAATAGTCCAATCATATTAACTGATGATGATGATGATGATGGTGTATATAAGAATTTAGATACTTCTGTGAATATATTTCGAGAAAATGGAAATAAATTGAAACCTGACACAGGCGAAGGTGCAAGTATTGTGAAACATTTCGTACCTTCTGCTGATAGGTATGGCTTACATATGATAATATTGTGTGTACAATTACTGTATAACTTAAATTAAATTTTAAAATCATAAAAATGTTTGTAAAATTAAATTTAATGCACCCTAGTAAAACTGATGAATTATTATCAAATAAAAACTTAAATATTATTTCTAATACTTAAAAAATTTAAGATAGGCATCTAAATATAATATAAAAAATAAAGCAAGTAGTATTACTAAGATAATAATTTTTTAAAGATGATTATTATTCATAATGTCATGTTTGACTAATTTATGGGCTTACTAGCAAGATAAATCTAAATTGATTCAAATTTAAGCATGTAAATGCGTACTCTTTARTTTTCCAATCACCTTACATAACATTTTACAAAAACATATCTTTACATATTATAATCAGAAARTAAAATCAATTTTAAATATTTTAACATTTGGTGTTAGTAATGGATTGTTAACTTTTAAAGAAAATATTAATCCTATTTTATTTAAATGCATTCAATTTTCTGTCAATATAGTAAATACACTTTACTTAATTCTATAACTAATTTGGAGATTCTTAATAATTTCAGGGCTAGGCARCAAAAAGAGTGATTTTTGTATGTAACTGTATAGGGTAATTACCCTTTTTGCTGCCTCATTCTGTATTATTACTTTTTTTTACTATCTTTGTGGGCTTTGTAAATTTATCATGGTAATAGTGAAAAAAATAAAAAATAAAACAAAGAAATTGAAGCTGAATCATTCTTTTTTATATGATATTGGTAGTAAAACAAAATAAAGTAAATTTTTTACTCAWAATGTATGTGTATTTTTTATAGTTAAATAAAATTTTGATCTTATAAAAACTAATAATATAATTTGGTGTTATCAATAATTTTTTAAACAATTATCATTAATTTGTTATTGGTAAAAAGTACTTTAATAATTATAATTCTCTTTTTYAAAAGATAACAGGATATTTAGCTAGTCACTGTTGTGCGTCCCCTATMAAAACACATATAGTMATTTCAGCCAATAMAACAGGCATGAAATGTTTGTTTCATGAAAATAACTCTGTTATTATCCCTAGTTTAATCTTTGTTCTATGTTTTTTCTATTGATTTCAAACTGATCTTTAAATTAATTGTTTATATCTTAATGAATAATAATTGAATGTAAATATGCAAATTGTAACTTTTATACTGTATAGTTGGATTAACTGAGACATAAAAATATAGAAAACTGATAAAAAAAAACTTGTATAGAAGTGCATTTGATTTATATTAGAGAAATTGTTGATTTTACACAAATTTACTAAATTCATTATTTTTTATAATTTTCATAAATTGTTTGTATGTGGCTATAATGATTGTATGTGCAAATTGATTCTTAAAATGTAAAGTAATTTTTGATAACACAAAATTATTGAAAATATTCAAATCACTAATATATTCATGATTTTGAAATAATTAAAATGTGCAGAKATCTTGAAAACGAAAATATTGCAAACTATGCCTTAATCTATTATATTTTAGCAATTGATAAATAAATCAGTAATCGACTAATTTGTTCATTTATTTTAATGTTGCTTTAAACCACTTTTTGTAATTGTGCTACACTAAAGTTAGAAGCACAAAAACTGTACTGCTGATGATGTTTAAGCACATCATAGATTATTTCACTACTTTATGAAATATTCATCTGCTACTGATTATATATATATATATATATATATATGTAATTTTCATGGATAATTTTTAATTATTTAATATTTACACTGGAGATTTAGGCACAACATTTATCTTAAGTATAGTYAATAAATAATAACAGTTAAATTATAGTTTTTAGTTTTTATAATAGTCATAATAATTTTTATCTCCCTTTTTTAATTTATGAGACAACTTTTGAAGTGAAAAATAATATTGTTGTTCATAATACACCTATATATATATATATATGAATATAATGTATAATATATGTATAAGTGTATGTTTATGTATTTATTAATAGGTATCACATGTCACAAAGTGCTCCTGAAAAGCCTGTGTTTAGAGGACCAGAAACTGATGTATTGCATGATCTCGGAAATGACAAATTAAAAATCATTAGAGTTCAAATGATACGTGCTGACATTCAGCAAAATGATTCGTTTCGTAAAGCTTATGTAGTTGAAGATTCAGTAGCTGGTAATAGATCAAAAGGTAGGTGATATTTATGATAAACAAAGTATTTTCAACTGCAATAAACTAATAAATTAATTTAATATTTTAATGTTTGTTCTCCAAAATTACAATAAATTTCAAAATTCATTACGAATAAAAAACATTATTGGTTTTTTAAAAATAATGTTATTATTTTATAAAKGAATTAACAGAAAATGAATAAATATTTTTTGTTTATTGTATTTTATGCAATTTAATAATCATATAATGGTTACAATTATTTGAAAGATATATTGGAAAATTATCACTACTTGATATAGTGAAGAAAAAATGATTTATTTGCTTTTAAATTGAATTTTTTGTTTTCACATTAAAATTGTATTGTTAATGTTTATAACTTGGCTGTATATTATATATTTTTTCTATTTATTAGTATTTTAACCGAATTTTTACATCAACTTCCTTGTGTTATTTAATACTTTAAATTATCTAAAAACAGAAAACAATATATTGTACAGATATTAAAACAAAGCATGGGCGAATGAGTGGTTAATCTCAGTTCTTAGCCCAAATTTAGTCCAATGTTATTAACTAATAATATTGTTATTTTAAAGTTTCAAATTTAAGATATTGTCCAAATTTTTATATTTTTAAAATAGATATAATCACTTTTGACTATTCTGGAAACATAAACATAATATGGTGAAAAGTATTTATTAGGAATAATTTTTAAATATAGGATATACTAATATCAATTTATTTAGTAATCAACTTTATGAAAATATTTATTGTATAYATAATTTACAAGGCTAATTAATATTTCAATACATATAGTGCCTATTTAAAATTATTATTGATGTCATTTTAGTATTATAAGGTAAGTGTACTAAGTATGAAATATTTACAGTTAAACTATCCTTGAGGAGTCAAATACAATTATTTAATTTTGTTTGATCAGTTAATTCTTTTCTTGGGTAGATTACTGAAATTAGTTTATGAGTCTTATACGAGTTTCATAATACAGGCTATTGAAGAATTATGAAAAGTCAAGTATACTTTTTAAAACTGATCAAATCAATTTTTTTTAATATCTGAAGTGTATAAAGAAATATCATTTTATTTGGTTACAATACAGGATTATTAAAAATCCTATATCTAGAGAAGAAATGCAAACTCCTAGTTTATTGAACAAATAATTTTATTAGTAGTCTTTTAATCTTTTATTTATTTTTGGAATCATAAASTTATATTATTTTTTATGAATGTTGTACAGAAATTTAAAATAAAGTTAATTAATTTAAGGTAATTATAAATTATCTTTTTCTTTTGGTTGTATGCAATAGCATACATTTTCACTACAAACAATTATTTAATTTAAACTTAAAAATCTTGAATAATTTTTTCACCAATTTTAAATCAACCGGTATTTGTATCCATATTATATTTTTAATCAAACATTTTTTTTCAGTACATACTGTTGACATTAWACAACTGCATTAAATGAAATTTTAAATTTCAAAATTACAAATATTTCTATGAATTGATTCATTACACAAATTTTGGTAACTTAATTATTTACAGTTTATTAAACTTCAATATTAAATAAGTTTTATCTTTATCTTAACAACATATTCAAGAAGACATTACAAACCTGTTYGTATCACTTATGGTTTTAGTTGCATATTGGTATTWTTGAGATCTTATTCCATTGTGGGTAGACATGTATGGATACACTTTTGTTCGCTTGAAGATTATTTACCAATACTTTTATTGAAATATTGGCATTACAAATACTTGCTACAAGAAGATACATGTATTAATAATGATACATATKATTATTAATGTTGTTAATTTTTTCTTATAACACCATGAATTAGTATTTGTAAACAATCCAAAACGTTTAAAAATAAAGTTTTGTTGATTTAGAAACCTTCTCTATTTTTAATGCTATCAATTGTGATAATTTTAGTGTGCATAATATGTTATTATGTTGAGACAATGGTAATTGTAGGGAAAGCAATAGGAACCAGTACCCAAATATGACATCAATCCAATACTGAAACATAAGAGCAATCAATAAAATGATGATATGATTATGCCTATAAAAGTGTACAAGAAAAATATATAAGATAATTTTACAAGTATTTAATTATTAACAATTATTGGATATGTTATGATGACACTTAATCTATCAAATCATTGGCGTGTGCAAAAATGTGTATTAAAATTGTTTATATATTAAAAACTGATAACCAGTCGTTCATTATCGTGCGTATAATCATTAATTTATTCTGTATCATTATTATATTACACAGACTATAATTTACCATAGATGGTAAAATTCTTAATTGCTTGTAGGAAAGAAAATAAAACAAATATGTGTGTTAAAAGTTAAAAAGAGTAAGAAAGGTTTAAAACTAAGGATGAAGAACATATTTCAGATTCAGAAGCAAATTTAGCTCAAATAAATATAATTTTCTAAACAATCACTTAGACCAATAATAAAAATTAATTTGTATCAACCAAAATCAGTTCACAACTAATGTAATGATCTCCATTTCCGTTTAATTGACGGGGTAAAGTCTGAAAGCTTCCTAGTAGGTCAGCATTTTCCTACCATTGTGCCGTGTAAAAAATCATRATTATCAATAGGCTTACTTATAATTTTGATAATATGTTAAAAAATTTTTACAATTCTCTTACCCTGATATGAAGGTGTGTAGTATACTTGTTAACTATTTGAATATATCACTATGAGGTGGAAACTTATGATAAAGTGAAACCAGTCCCAAATTTCTCAATATCTAACATAATAGTAATGTAATATCTTTGTTTTCGATATCAATAAATTCCACATTTTTAATAAATTAAAATATTATTTTACATGAGATTTCCTTACCTAAATAAACACATAATTTTAAATTATTTATTAATAATTTATTAATATGATGAAAACCTAATTCTTGTATTAAAAAAAAATATATATTTATTTAACATATTATAAAATTCAGTGTCAAGCGTGCTACGGCTAAATATGGGTTAGGACTAGYGTGTCATGAGGGGAAAAGGTTGGGAAATGCTGTAATAGATATATACCCAAAACAGTATTTACAAATACACAACTGGTTAACTACTTCAATTGAGATTAACAATTTGCCTGTAGTAGATTGGAAATATCACTTAATATATAAATCAAATGTAGTTCAAATTATACTCTAAATTTTCTTAATATCTCCAAAAACAAGTCAACATTTTCACAAAATTTATTTAATAGTTTTTGAGTGATTGTATAAGCTACAAACACACATTCACTTTTCATACTTATTTAAAGATATAATTTCTTTATTCAAAACTATCAAAACAAAAATTTAATGCATGGTTTTATCTCACAATAATAAATAAATACTAATTTAGTAATTTCTCCTATTACTATCATAGTATTATAATATGTAAGCTGTAACCAATAGCTGCTATTTATAAACAAAAATTYCATAGTAAATCTAAAGATCTTTTGTTAAATTTTTAAATAGAAAAAAATTAAGGGCCACTTATTGAGATAATAATTATCCCACATTTTAATTGGACAAATAACACATATTAAGCATAATTTTATCAAAATCAGTTGAGTAGTTTTGGAATGCATTGCGCCTAAACTTGTATGGTTGATATTTATATTTTAATATATTGATACTCAGTAATATAAACTAATATACYGTCTTCGCTCAGAATCGTTCTTTTGCATGAGACAATTTATCATTGAATTCAAATATAACACATAAGAAAAGATAGAMTTGATCAAAAATGAAGAGGTGTATACAAGATACAATGCCTTCTTTACATTAGGGATGTTACCTACTTTTCCTCTATTTTTAATTAAAATTTTCAATTCCTTCTTCATAAAAATGTTCTATTTATCTTAGCTTGATTTTATTTTTTATCAGAGAATAATTGTTTTTAAAATTGCTAGTATATTGTAAGTTTTGTAAAGAAATAATTTAATCAGTACAGTAATTGAATTTAAGCTGAGTAATAGTTACTATATCATTCTGTACATCTGTACAATTTTAGAGAACTGCTTCTATCAGTAAACAGTTTATTATTAGAATATATAAGTATTTTCATAGATGCTGGCAGTCAGATATTATTATTATCTAAATGCCATTTTGTTGCAGGTCGTCATCATCACATATATATGTCAATATGAATATTTTTTGATTATGACAGGAGAAAATTTTCTACAAATGATAAATTAGTTGCTTCAAATAGATTATATTGTAAAAACTTAAAAATGTAACAAATATTACTATACATGTTTACTAAAAAATTATGGAATTCATCAATAGAATGACATTGATAATAAAACATTGTCTGTAGTAAAAACAGCCAATCATACGCCGACAATTAACAGGCTTAATTAAAATTATAAATATTATGTTAACATCATTCAATGTTTTCCAACTTGAGCAAAATTAATGTAATTAAAAATTAATTGATACCTTTGTCGATTTTAAACAAGTAAACAATTTGCATATATTAGTGTGTATATAAATCATTAGTTAAAGTAAATACAATATAAAAGATAATTTTTTTATGGTGAATTAGTTTAAAAATAATTAGCTATGATCATAAAAAATATAATTTAAGAAATAAGTTCTTTACAATTTAGATGAAACAACATTTGCTGAATATATGATGCAAGATAGAAGTGTATTATAAAAATAATAAACTATACATCTATTACTGTAGATAGTTCTTATTTCAGGCTTATTTCAGGCTTATTTTAATCTTAAAATTCTTATTTAAAAGCTATATAAGAATGAATTGAAGTAAATTTTAATGTAGGTAGAACAGAGAAATGGCTGATTTTATAAATATATTTACCTAATAATGGTTTATGATCAAAATTTTCACTAAACAGTTAGAGATACACAACTTGCAATAAATAATTGCTTGTTAAAACATCATTATCTAGTATGAGAATGATAGAAA